GTACCATGTGACCTGCTGTGACCAATCACAGCAGGTCACATGACAGTTGAATACAATAGATGGCTTCCTATCATGCCATCCATTGTATACAAGTGTGGCTAGCTGTGAATGGTCACAGCGATCACATGCACAAGCTGGGCCAAACACAGCCCAGCTGTGCCATGTGATTAGCTGTGGCCAAATCACAGTTAAGAAAAAAAAAAATCCTGAATGAATCGATTTCATTCAGGTAAATGCTTGCTTATAGCAAAGTAATTCTTTGCTATAAGCAAACTGAATAAAAATAAAAAAAAATCAATTTTTTTTTTTCGTACTGTCACCAGTCAGTGTCCCTGATCACCCATGCCAGTTATATGATGACACTGTACTGCACTGGTGACAGTATGTTAAAAATAATTGTGAAAATCATTTATTTAATTTCTTCATTTCCAAAAAATTATGACAAAAAAAATGACAACTTCAAAAAACTCGCCTTGCCTGTTATGAAATACGTCGGACTGTCTACTTTGCAAAAAGGGGTCATTTGGGGGATATCTGTACTGTTCTGACATTCTTGGACCTCAGGAAATTAGATTGGCTGTCAGAAAAAGTTGAATAATACCCTCACTATAGGTGTAGGCCATTTACGTACCTCATGAAGCCTGACAGGAATACTACTAGAACATTAAGTGAGGCCCAGTCATTACTGCACACCTCTTCCATCACAGGAGTGAGCTCTCAGATGCTGAACTCAGTGTAACTACATCAGGGGGGAAAGAGCGAGCATGTGAAGGGGTCTGAATCGGAGAAAAAGCTCACTCCTGTGATGTTGGGGGTGAGCAGTAATGACTAGACCTCGCTTAGCAACGTCCTGTAAGTACTAAGCAATGTCATGGGAGTATTCCAGTCAGGCTTCATGTGGTATGTAAATAGCCTACACTATAGCAAGGACATTATTCAACTTTAGTCAGAGACACGCAGTTTTTTATCCACAGGTTCCCATTACCTGCATAGGCAATTCGTTTGGTGAAAGTGAACTATCCTTTAATGGCGAAGCTGTTGCTGCCAGGGTTTTGAGAGATGGGATTTTCTGATATGGCCATTTCTACTCTGACAGCTTGGAAGGTGATTTTCAAGGAGATGTACCACAGATTTGGAAATCTTTTGTTTGGTGTTGGGCTGGAGGTTTTCTCCTCGCAAACTAGTGTGCGTGCGTTCTCTAATATGGAGTTTCTGGGAATGGCCTTGAGCTCTATCAAGGGTTAGATTTTGGCCTTAGCAGTCTCTCTTTTTGGAGATTGGTTGTTTCACATCATTGATATGTATCTTTATGCAAGGCATCACACATATTGTTCCACCAGTGAGGTTTCCCTTGACTCAGTGGGACCTCAACTTGACAGTTCTGTATTGCAGAACTGTCCGTTTGATCTGGGATATTCTTTTAGTCATTCTGTCTCGAAAGGTTACATTTCTACTGCCGTTATTTCAACTCACAAAGTTCTGAAATTTGGTGTTTTTTCCTGTGAGGAAATGTTCTTGGAGCTGCACACAGAAGAGTTTTCTTGCCTTAATGCGGAGAATGCATTAAGCTAATATACCTTCTACCTTTTTAGAATCGCTTTAAAGTATTACTAAACCCAGGACCCTGCATTCACTATATCTAATCTCCCACAGTACACAGAACATGGAAGTGAAATTATTTTAGTAAATATAAACTGCTAAATACCTTTTCTCATCAGCAGTTAGAGCAGTCTTGTGACTTCAGCAGAGCACTGGTTAAAGCTTGTAGGAGAAGTTTTCTTTGTGCTCTAGGAGGATGCAAACCCCTGACCTGAATGTCTGTGCAGTGCTAATTGGCCGTGTGCTGATCACATGCACTCTCCCAAGAAAAAAAAAACCTCTCCAGCAAAACATATAGAGACTGATTTTACTGTCGTGGGTTTAGTAACACTTTAACATGAATCACTGTGCACTACTGTACTTGTGTATATGTTATTTCTATCATAAACACGAGAACAATGTGTGAGCATATGCAACAAAAAGAAAAAAAATTATCTTCCTTTTTTTTTTTTTTTTTTTTAATTTTGCACAAGCTTCTATTCTGTACTCGTGGTTACAATAGCACCGCCATATACACGATGCACAGTTATGTATGTTAATGATGGACTGTACGTTGCACCTGATCTTTTTTGGGCAGAGATAATATGCCAGGCATTATGCTTAACGCGCTCAGGTAACCTGTGTGCAAGAGCTCTTATAAAGCGTAATTACATTTTATGTAGGCTACATTAAGAAAAAAAAAGTGAAATGGGTGACATTGTCAGGCATTTGCAATGACTGAAAACCATAACTGAATTTTAGCATTTGTTTCAACTCTTCTATGGATGTTTGCTTTGTGATGTTTATTTCCGTGTAGCCCACAAAATAACATTAGACCCTTTAATACTGGCTTCCACTCAATTTTGTCTATTTTGAGAATGCAACTGAAGGTGCTGGAATGCATAATGATGGGGTGGGGAAAACCCAAGACTTCCATACAGGAGCAGAGTTGAAAATCAACCTATAGGTAACTGCATATACAGCGGGTAAAATAAGTATTGAACATGTCTCTATTTTTCTCAGTAGATATACTGTATATACTGTATATCTAAAAAGACCTAAAGGAATTATCAGGTACAATTGTTCCAAAGAAAACAATAAGTAATTCACTCAACTGCCATGGCCTGTATGCGCGCTCATCACGCAAGATCCACTGCTGAAGAAAAAGCAGGTTGAAGCTCATTTAAAGTTTGCTGCACAACATTTAGACAAGCCTGTTAAATACTGGGAGAATATAGTCTGGTCAGATGAGACCAAAATTGAACTCTTTGGATGTCATATGACACACCATGTTTGGAGGTCAAATGGCACTGCACATCACCCCAAAAACACCATACCAACAGTGAAGTTTGGAGGTGGGAACATCATTGTGTGGTGCTGTTTTTCTGCGTACAGTACAAGCAAACTTTATATCACTGAAGGAAGGATGAATGGAAAAACATACAAAGACATTCTTGATAAAAATCTGCTGCCATCTACTAGGATAATGAAGATGAAACGAGGGTGGACATTTCAGCAAGACAATGATCGCATACACAAAGCCAAGGAAACTCTCTATTGGTTTCAAAGAAAAATAATAAATCTGCTAGACTGCACCAGCCAATCAACTGACTTGAAGCCAATAGAAAATCTATGGCAAGAACTAAAGATCAGAGTTCATAGAGGCCCACGGAACCTTCAAGATTTGAAGACTGTGGAAGAATATCATATCTGAGGAATGCATGTGACTAGTTTCTCCATACAGGAGGTGTCTTGAAGTTGTCATTTAATGCAAGGACTTCCTGCGCTAGGAATGGGGCACTATTCACCAAGCTGCTGACACAACACTCCTTACCAACTAAAGTGAATAAATAAATATATATATATATATATATATATATATATATATATATATATAAAGTGCAGCGCTATCTCTAAATGTACTAAATAATTTATAAATATAAAGTGCAACACTAATTATACAAGTGCTCCAAATAATACCACAAGGTACTAAATTAATGTGCAAAATAGTGCATACAAAAAGAAAGTGCAAACCGTGTATTACAATTCATACAAATAAAGTGCAAATTAGTGCTAATATTAATCACTCCAACCATCTGTTGATACATAAATCCACAGAAAATAAATATATTGTCCAAATGCAGCAAAAGACTATTTTTCATTTTCAATCTTCATGCATGTGTCACACGTGACCACACTGTGTAACTCCAAACTTTAGCCGTGATGGCCTCTCACCTCCTTACCCCGACCCCACAGGGTCAGCTTGCTTTAAACAGGACACCTCTTTGATAGCTCACCAGGGCCTCGCCTCTAATACTCTATCAGCAGGAAGTCACGTGTTACCGTGACGCAACGCGTCGGTACGCGAGGAGGATTCTGGGAGCGCGGTGACGTCATTTCCGGCGTGGCGGCCATATTTGAAATCCCTGTATCAAAATACCCATGCAGGAGATTTATAGCATGGGGTATTGAAGGCCTGTGAGAAGACGAATATAAATGTGAGTGGGCAATCTTTTTTTATACTTACATCAGTAAATAAACAGGTTACACTATGTTAGTCTCTCTTGTTTATTTATGAACCGAGGAGCTGACTGCTGATAGAGTATTAGAGGCGAGGCCCTGGTGAGCTATCAAAGAGGTGTCCTGTTTAAAGCAAGCTGACCCTGTGGGGTCGGGGTAAGGAGGTGAGAGGCCATCACGGCTAAAGTTTGGAGTTACACAGTGTGGTCACGTGTGACACATGCATGAAGATTGAAAAAGAAAAATAGTCTTTTGCTGCATTTGGACAATATATTTATTTTCTGTGGATTTATGTATCAACAGATGGTTGGAGTGATTAATATTAGCACTAATTTGCACTTTATTTGTATGAATTGTAATACACGGTTTGCACTTTCTTTTTGTATGCACTATTTTGCACATTAATTTAGTACCTTGTGGTATTATTTGGAGCACTTGTATAATTAGTGTTGCACTTTATATTTATAAATTATTTAGTACATTTAGAGATAGCGCTGCACTTTATATATATATATATATATATATATATATATATATATATATTGAAGTTGTCATTACCAACAAAGGATTTTGTACCAAGTAATAAATTAATTTCAGTTAGTGTGTTCAATACTTTTTCCCTGTGTCATTCCATTTTATTACACATAACTGAATTTCTCAACGTATTTGTATTGGTTTCTTTGTATGTATGGGTTGCATGGGTTGTTACTGACGTGGTGCAAATTTCATGTCAATAGCACCTTTAGAAATATATTTACTGAGAAAAATGGTGACATGCTCTATATTTATTTTGCCCGCTGTATGTAGAAAAAAATGTGTGGCAACAAATTTGACTACTGTGACTGAATTGTTTTACATATTTGTTGTTTACACTAAATATTATTTCTTTCTGCCTTTGTAAGGTTTTGCCATAGGAATGCCAGTGTGTGAATTTGACATGGTGAAGGATCCAGAGGTTCAGGACTTTAGGAAAAATATCCTCAATGTTTGTAAGGACGCGGTTGAACTTCGTGATGCAAATGGCCCTATTAGCAGAGCACTTTACGTTTACCCACCTAATGTTGAATCCTCCTCAGAGCTTCCCAAGCACATAGAAAGCAAACTAGACAAAGGTAACTGTGTAACAATTCTGAAACGTTCCGCATAATCTGATGTGGTATTTGTGTATATTCAGTGTGCCTATGAGCTCTTGTATGCACAGAATTTTTTTGTTTAACTTTTTTCCCTCTGTCTTGTGTTATGGCAGTATAAGGTTTAGGGGTCACTAACTTTGTCTATAATTGGAATTCCATAGGACAAATAATTGTGGTGATTTGGGTCATTGTGTCTCCCAACAATGAGAAACAAAAATACTCTCTGAAGATTAACCATGACTGTGTACCAGAACATGTAATAGCAGAAGCAATAAGAAAAAAGACAAGAAGTATGTTGTTGTCTACTGAGCAGCTGAAGCTTTGTGTCCTTGAATACCAGGGGAAGTATATACTAAAAGTCTGTGGCTGTGATGAATACTTGCTTGAAAAGTATCCCCTAAGTCAATATAAGGTGAGCAAGACCTTGTAAAATGTGTAATGTACCAATGCCTTTTTTATGTCCTTGACTAGGGCTTGCATATGCAGAGAATAGTGCATGGTTTTATGAGGTAAGGTGCAGTTTTGTAGTAGTCTGGCTATGTATGCCATGTGAGCCATGTGGTTGCTGCAGATGAACATAGAAGACAGGTATACAATTTGCCATTCGACTCTGAATACAGCACAAAAGAGCAGCAAAAATCTGTGCTGCATATTCCTGCTTTATGAGCAGCAGTCAAAGATCACCTAGTATGCACTAAATGTATGTGCATGTCGGGTGATCATAAGTTCATCCAAATTAACCTATCCCTGCACACATAGATATGTCATTCTGATCATTTAAAGCCTAAATCCAGCCAAAACATTTCACTTTTCTATTAAGAGCAACTAAAGCCAACATTTTGTTTTGGATGGAGTAAGGGAAGGTTTTCCCCACCGTCATTTTTTTGTGTCCCATTGTGAAGATTTTACCTTTTTTGTTTCCTGTACCATAGTCACAACAGGAAAAAAAAAAGGAAATCCCTTCAAAATTAGGGAAATCCTTGGTTGTCACCAGAACTATTGTCCACATCTGAAGATTTCCCCTTATTCCTATTCTACTGATAACGCAAAAATGTAGGGTTTACTTTAATTTTCATGGTCTTTAATAGCCCCCTGGACAAATAGAGAGGGTGAATCTCCCTAACTAGGACACGCAGCATAAAAACCTGACAGATACTCTAATCCTAACTGGGCATTAGTTCTACTTTAATAAAACAGGGAAGCTCATATTAGGTTTTCATTTCATAAGCTGATAGGAAAACTGGTAAAAGCTGATACTGCAGCTGTAGATTACAGGACAGCCATGCCTTTTAACAAACTGCTGCATGACTGGGTTCTCTGAAACAAAAGTGGATGTGATTTTTATAATCTGATCTTTACCTTCAAAAAAGGCAGAAAGGTGGTAGCACGTGAGTTTAGTGCAAGCGATCAGGCAGCTCTACAGTCGCCTATTCCTTTTAGATGTAAGCCAGGAGCTGGCTTTGCAGAGACACAAGCTCACAGCATATTTCATATTATCCATATGTTGTCTTGCCTACTGTTCTTCAGCCTTAGTGTGAGGGATGCTACCATCAGAGAGAAGTGGTCTGATTAGATTCTCTGATTCTAATCTGAACTGATTCTCTCGCATTAAATTTTCTTTAAGAACTTTTTTTTTATTCTTTTTGCTGTGAACTGGGAGTGTAATAGTTCTTGCCTCACCCAATCCTCACTCAAGTCATGTGAAAATGTAGCTATCAACAAGTAAGAAATGGAGAAAACAGGACTGGGATGAGCCATACTGTTCTGTGCAGTGATAATATCTCTCTCTTTTGCAAATGTTGGAGCATGACATACTAAGGGAAGATCTGGAAAGCCTATAACCAGAAGCCTAGAGGTCATAGAGAATCCTGGGCTCTGCCCTCTGCTTACACAGCAGCTGGGAGAACTTCTGGAAAAGCCACAAGACACATATGGGGAGATTTACTAAAACTGGTGCACACAAAAATCTGCTGCAGCTGTGCATAGTAACCAATCCACTTCTAACTTCAGCCTCTTCAAATATGCTTTGGCAGTAAAACCTGGAAGCTGATTGGTTTCTATGCAGAGCTGCACCAGACTTTGTGTGCACTAGTTTTCGTAAATCACCTCCAGAATTTTGCATGTGTGTATGCATGCTCAATTTTTAACTTGCAGTTTTAAAATGTTTGCAATATATATATATAAAAAAAAACCTAGTAATTCTGTCACACCTTCTACTAATTTAAAATGTTTACAAGGATTTTGGTGCTTGGTCAGCATCTTTGTTTTTCATCTGTACTTTTCTATGAGCTTTACAAAATAACCTATATAACTTAAGGATAACATAACTATATGTATTAGCTTAGTTGACTATGGACACATTTGTTAAATGTCATTAATATATTTTAGTATATAAGGAGCTGTATAATGCTTGGCCGGATGCCCAATTTAATGTTAATGGCAAAAGACAGCTTATACAACCAGATTCCAGTGGACACCTTTACAATGCCCTCTTACTCAAGACGAATTTCAACGGCAACACCATATATGAATGGAGAAGCCTCTGCTAAATCGCTGTGGGCCATCAACAGCAATCTCCGAATAAAAATTCTCTGCGCAACATATGTCAATGTGAACATCAGAGATATTGACAAGGTACACTGACAAATATTGTAGTTGCTTGATTCTTGTATCTAGGTTATTAAAATATTTGTAAACCTCATCTGATTTTGCTTTAGATCTATGTTCGAACTGGCATATATCATGGAGTTGAGCCATTGTGTGACAATGTCAACACTCAGAGGGTTCCTTGTTCAAATCCCAGGTAATTTATTTAGTAATACTTTTGCCTGCATTTCTAATGGTTTTATCATGGGTTTTTTTTTTTTCCATGCCCTGTAACTGTGGTCATTTCAAATTACTTGCTGCTAACCATAATTGGTGTTTGATGCTTCACTTCCAAATATGAGCTGGTTAAACAGGTTTGCTAGTGGTACATTTTTTGTTTTGTACAGCAGCTTTCTAGCTGTGATTATCTAAAGTACATCAACAACAAAAGTTTTTATTTTGAGCAGTTGTGATTATGAAAATATAAAGTTATGTGTTTCACCTTTGAAACCTATGGCTGTGCAAATTCCTACACCTGAGTGTATATATGTTAAAAGCCCACCTAAATAATAGCAAAAAACAAAGCGTATTCACATAGGCAGCACTTAGTGTTACTAAACCCACAACCGTAAAATCAATCTGTATATGCAGTAAAGCATGCTTGCTATACTCACTATGGTACCTAAGGGGTTAATCCTCTGCATTGTGTAGAAAAGCCGTTTTGATCCGGATAGCTCTGCTCCTCCTCTTGTTAAAATGTCCACGTCTTATCTCCTGATGACTGAACTGTAGCCATTCTGCTCATGCTCAGTTTATTGTGAATTTCTAGCGCATTTTTTTTTTCTTCTTGGGAGAGTGCATGTGATCAGCACAGGGCCAATCAGCACTGTCCAGACAGAGGTCAGGGGCTTTGCATCCTCCTAGAGCAGAAAAACTCCTCATACAAGCTTTAAATAGTCCTCTGCTGGACACTGATAGAAGTCACAGGACTGCTGAAGAGAAAAGGTATTTAGCAGTTTATATTTACTAAAATAATTGCACTTCCATTGTCTGTGTACTGTGGGAGACCAGATATAGTTGTCTCCCACAGTATGCAGGGTCTTGGGTTTAGCAACACTTCAAAGCAGTTGTAAAGTATTTTTTTTTTAAAATTAAAATAAAGAGGGTATACTTATGGTGTTGCACAGTGTGGCACCTTTGCCTCCTCTTCTGGCATTCTCCTCTGATGCTCTCCACTCCTACTTTTTACGAGGCCCTACCCCCCCCAGCAAGTCATGTGCAATGATGGTGCATCCAGAGACAGACAGTATGGGTCAGCTACAACCTCCTTTTTCCTCCTCACAAGATTTGACTGACAACAGCAGGAACCAATGGCTCCCATTGCTCTCAGTGTAGCCTGTAAGAGCAGGAACACAGCAGGGTAGAGCTGCAGCTGAGTACAGCCCTGGATCGGTAGAGGACTCTGGTAAGTGTTTAGTGATGGGAGGAAGGAACAACTAGAGAAAGGTTTTTTACTTTAGAACCTCTATGAATGAAATATCAAAATGACTGTATGCCAACTTTAAAAAATAGGTCTTAATTATAACACTTGTCTTAAGTGGAGATAAATATTCCCATTTCAAATTTCACTCATAGTCTCCATGCAAAATTGAATGTTGTAATACACATACACTATATTGTCAAATGTATTGGGACACCCCTCCAAATCATTGGATTCAGGTGTTCCAATCACCTCCATGGCCACAGCTGTATAAAATCAAGCACCTAAGCATTCAGACTGCTTCTAGAAACATTTGTGAAAGAATGGGTCACTCTCAGGAGCAGTGAATTCAGGTGTGGTATCGTGATAGGATTCCACCTGTGCAATAAGTCCATCCATGAAATTTCCTTGCTACTAAATATTCCACAGTGGAATATAACAAAGTGGAAGCAGCTGGGAACAGCAACAACTCAGCCATGAAGTGGTAGGCCACGTAAATTGACAGAGCTGGGTCAGCGCATGCTTTTAGCGCACAGTGAACAGGAATCGTTAACTGTCTGCAGAGTCAATAGCTAAGACCTCCAAACTTTGTGTGGCCTTCAGATTAGCACAACAACAGTGGGTAGAGAGCTGCATGGAATAGGTTTCCATGGCCGAGCAGCTGCATCCAAGCCTTACATCACCAAGTGCAATGCAAAGCTTTGGATGTAGTGGTGTAAAGCACGCCGCCACTGGCTCTAGAGCAGTGGAGACGTGTTCTCTGGAGTGATGAATCGCGCTTCTCTGTCTGGTAATCTGAGGGACGTGTCCGAGTTTGAGGGTTGCCAGGAGAACGATACTTGCCTGACTGCATTGTGCCAAGCGTAATGTTTGGTGGAGATGGGATTATGGTGTGGGGTTCTTTTTCAGGGGTTGGGCTTGGCCCCTTAGTTCCAGTGAAGGGAACTCTTAAGGCGTCGGCATACCAAGACATTTTGGACAAAGTTATGCTCCCAACTTTGTGGGAACAGTTTGGGGATGCCCCTTCCTGTTCGAACATGACTGCGACTTGTGGATCCCTCCACCTTAGAAAACCATGCGCACCAGACAATATGACCTCCAAATTATAGGTATGTCATAATGAATCTGTATCGAGAACTTTTATGCTATTCACACATGCATAAAAATTCCAACTTGTATCAGAAGAGAGGTAATCCTTTAACAATCTGCATCCTCGCCCACAATTTTGATGTTAAAGGAGAAGTACAGCCAAAGCTGTAAATGGGTCACAGGAGTGCAGAATTAACTTTGGCTATCTAAATATTTCAGATTGGGTGTCATACTCCATTTCCTCGCTCTGCTTTAGCATTATGATTGCCCTCAAAGGACCGGTTTTATCTCGAAGGCTATATAAATGTATCTATTTATATTGTAAAGCGCTGCACAAACTGTTGGCGTTATATAAATCCTGTACAGTGAGGTCCATAAATATTGGGGACATCGACACAATTCTAACATTTTTGGCTCTATACACCACCACAATGGATTTGAAATGAAAAGAACAAGATGTGCTTTAACTGCAGACTGTCAACTTTAAGGGTATTTACATCCAAATCAGGTGAACGGTGTAGGAATTACAACAGTTTGCATATGTGCCTCCCACTTGTTAAGGGACCAAAAGTAATGGGACAATTGGTTTCTCAGCTGTTCCATGGCCAGGTGTGTGTTATTCCCTCATTATCCCAATTGCAATGAGCAGATAAAAGGTCCAGAGTTCATTTCAAGTGTGCTATTTGCATTTGGAATCTGTTGCTGTCAACTCAAGATGAGATCCAAAGAGTTGTCACTATCAGTGAAGCAAGCCCATCATTAGGCTGAAAAAACAAAACAAACCCATCAGAGAGATAGCAAAAACATTAGGTGTGGCCAAAACAACTGTTTGGAACATTCTTAAAAAGAAGGAACGCGCTGGTGAGCTCAGCAACACCAAAAAGACCCGAAAGACCACGGAAAACAACTGTGGTGGATGACTGAAGAATTCTTTCCCTGGTGAAGGAAACACCCTTCACAACAGTTGGCCAGATCAAGAACACTCTCCAGGAGGTAGGTGTATATGTGTCAAAGTCAACAATCAGGAGAAGACTTCACCAGAGTGAATACAGAGGGTTCACCACAAGATGTAAACCATTGGTGAGCCTCAAAAACAGGAAGGCCAGATTAGAGTTTGCCAAACGACATCTAAAAAAAAGCCTTCACAGTTCTGGAACAACATCCTATGGACAGATGAGACCAAGATCAAATTGTACCAGAGTGATGGGAAGAGAAGAGTATGGAGAAGGAAAGGAACTGCTCATGATCCTAAGCATACCACCTCATCAGTGAAGCATGGTGGTGGTAGTGTCATGGTGTGGGCATGTATGGCTGCCAATGGAACTGGTTCTCTTGTATTTATTGATGATGTGACTGCTGACAAAAGCATCAGGTTGAATTCTGAAGTGTTTCAGGCAATATTATCTTATATTCAGCCAAATGCTTCAGAAACTCATTGGATGCCGCTTCACAGTGCAGATGGACAATGACCCAAAGCATACTGCAAAAGCAACCAAAGAGTTTTTTAAGGGAAAGAAGTGGAATGTTATGAAATGGCCAAGTCAATCACCTGACCTGAATCCGATTGAGCATGCATTTCACTTGCTGAAGACAAAACTGAAGGGAAAATGCCCCAAGAACAAGCAGGAACTGAAGACAGTTGCAGTAGAGGCCTGGCAGAGCATCACCAGGGATGAAACCCAGCGTCTGGTGATGTCTATGCATTCCAGACTTCAGGCTGTAATTGACTGCAAAGGATTTGCAACCAATTATTAAAAAGTTAAAGTTTGATTTATGATTATTATTGTCAGGGCAGGGCTGTGGAACGGACAGGTAGGCCTAGTGGCAGGGTAACGCACTGGCTGACGACAACCACCACCAACAGACCGAAGTCCCTCAGGGCGCGGAGTCTAAGTCCCAGGCTGCCCTTCACCAGGGCCCCTGATGGTGGGGATGGACTTGACGCAGCCAGGAACCAGGTCGCGGCCCCCGAGACACCCCAGCTGCGGTAATGGCCGCCGCCAATGGCGTGTAGCTGGTGAGAATGACAATAGCGTAGTCAGGCAAGCCGGGTCGACAACAACGGGACAAAACGGTACAGAACAGTAGACAGAGAATAACAGGTCACGGGCCGGGTTCAGCAACGGAAGGTCAGATCGAAGGAAAACACAGAGAATGGTCTTAGTCACAAGCCGAGTCAAATACCAGAAGAGTCACGAGCGTATACACAGAGCTGTAGCAAGAACAAGACACAAGTGCAAAGAGCATGTGCGGATCACAGGCTTATATGTACTCAGCCACACCCCTCTGGGGGATGGACCTCAGAGACCTGAAGGCATAAAAGGATTCCCACCATGCACAGCAGAAATCCAAGATGGATGCCAGCACATGGAGTAACATAACCTCTGGGAAAAGGTAGGACCTTGACAATTATTCTGTCCCATTACTTTTGGTCCCTTAACAAGTGGGAGGCACATATGCAAACTGTTGGAATTCCTACACCGTTCACCTGATTTGGATGTAAATACCCTCAAATTAAAGCTGACAGTCTGCAATTAAAGCACATCTTGTTCTTTTCATTTCAAATCCATTGTGGTGGTGTATAGAGCCAAAAATGTTAGAATTGTGTCGATGTCCCAATATTTATGGACCTGACTGTATAATAATAATAATAATCTACTCTTGATCATATTAAATAATTCCCTTTTGCCTTTGGTTTTAGTAATAACTTTAGTAACTGGAGACTGCTCAGACAGAACATGGTTCTGCCATGGCGTTCTGTCTGTGCAGTCTCCAAAAAAGTTTTCTTGTGGATGATACACACCACTGGTATCTTCCACAAGAAAACTTTATTGGAGACTGCACAGACAGATTGCCATAGCAGAACCATGTTCTGTCTGAGCAGTCTCCAGTTATTAAAGTTATTACCAAAACCAGTAATAATCGAATGCAAAGGCAATTATTTAATATGATAAAGAGTATATACATTTTATATAGCCTTACAGATAAAACCGGCCCTTTGAGGGCAATCAAAATGCTAAAGCGGTGAGAAGAAATTGAGTTTGAAACTCCGATCTAAAGTATGTAGATTCCCCTTTCTTGCCATAGAGCCATGGTGTGTACAAACTTCCAGCAGATTGAAGCAGAAACAGCCAGCTTTCATATTTTATATACAAGTAATTTCTCAAATCCAGTATCAAGTGTACAGTTAACATTGTTCTGGGCAAATAGCCATAACTGATAAATATGCACAAACGCAGCTGTTAAACATAAGTGAAAAAATAAAATGACAGCAAAGAACTATAAAAGTAGTTCCTAATTATAACAATGCTCACACTTAAACCACAAATGGTGATGAATACTTTTTGTTTCTACTGAAATTCTTTTATCTCTTAAATATTTTTACTAAAACTTTTGTAGCTAAAGAAAGCTGCTTGAGAGTTGCACACTATTTATCTTGTCCCCTTTACCTCTTTTTTAGTGTCACTATCTTCATACTGCTGTACATAGTTAAATTTTTGTTTTGTCTTTTTGCTACATTGTTCATGTTTTTGCAAACCTTAATCCTTCCATTGCCATCGACGTCAGGTTTGCATCAAAATAGAACCACTTGCCAGCTCAGAAAGCCTTACATCGGCTGCATTCTCTTCTGCTATAAGCCCATGGTCAGTTCAGAAAACATGAACTTAAAACAGAAGGGTCCGTAGACTCTTTTCACAAATAAATAGCTGAGCTCAGAGGGTTGCCATTCATTAAAATACCCCTGGAAGTGTCAATTACCTGCAGTGGCTAGATATCTGCAACACACACAGGCTTAAAAGTTAATTATACATAATGTTTCTGAGGGTGACTTTAGTTTACTTGGCAACTCTTCATGACTGGGTCACTTCAAGAGCGTAATGTTGGCTTTTAAAGTTTAAAACAAGCTGACAGCTACTGCTTTTTAAAAGCTGGAAACTCGTGTTCATTGTTTTACTGACCACTGTAGTAGTTGTAAATAGTGTCAATAATAAGAATTAACTGCAAAATATGTTCCATTACCCATTAAAATACAGATTTGTGTCTATAGTTGGGAAATGAGATAATTTACAGTTAAGAACCATACCCTTTTGTTACAGTATGAAAAATACTCACATTTACTTAATTTCTTTTTTCAGGTGGAATGAGTGGCTTTTGTATGACATGTATATCCCTGATCTGCCCAGGGCAGCTCGTCTTTGTCTGTCCATTTGTTCGGTGAAGGGCAGAAAGGGTGCCAAAGAGGTAGGTAGTTGTAATGCTGTGATTTCCCACACAAATTGTCACATACAATTCTCTATAATAATGGAGAAGCATGGGATAGTACAAATCGATAGCATTAACTACCCTTACCACAGAATAGCTTTTATTTCTTTCCTATTTTGTTCTATTTTAGCTGTATCTCCATTGCAAACCCTGTTTAGGGCTGAGTAACTGTCTTCTTCAGGTTTGAAAGTTTGGAGTGGGTGGTTATGTCTGGAGTGGGCTGCCTCCTTCATCCTCTCCTGTGAACTTCCTCACAGAGACACGAGCTGGAACGTGCCTGCCCGTCATGTGCCTCTGTTTTTGTGACTTCACACTGTCAGCACGGAAACAGAGGCACATAACAGTATGCTGAGGGATCTGCAACTTCAGGAGACTGTACTGTAAAAAAAGGGGTGAATAACTGTTCTTCAGCTTCTTTGCTTCACTTGGCAGAGAGAGAACTGATAACGTTCAGCAGTGAGAGCTTAGCCTGGATGGGAGGGGGAAGGAAGAAGGAGGGAGAAAGAAGCTGTTTGTCTGTAAGTGAAACTCTGACTTAGAATGACCTTGATGGGAGGGGGGTAGTAGCGGGAGAGAAACTGCCTGTGTGTGAAGAAACTCAACAGCCTGGATGGGAGGGTGTGAAGGAGGGAGTTTGAGAAGAGCTGAAGCTCTGCTGATGTTTCAGGAGCGTGCAGACTGTCAGGAGCGATGTAAGTCATAATGTCGGGATGACGCTGCATGAGGGACCTTAGCTCCTCCCACAGGTATTTTCTTTGATTTCAGAAGAAAGGGTGTACATTTTGGAGGGCACAAAATTGTTTTTCATAGCAGCAGCTCACCAGGATTTAGATTATGCAAAAAAAAAATGTAACCCATACTTCTGTTTTAAATATGGCCAATCTTTACAAAGTAAGCCCCCACTTCTGCTTTCAACAAATGATTTTGTATACTGTGGTAATATTATGCCTATACAGCATATTTTGCTACTAAGAATAGAGGCAGTTGCCTAGCTTTACTTTAGGATTTATAGGATTTGATTTACTCAAAATGATATAGGGTGTTCATTTTGCATGGGAATTTAATCAATGCAGTGAAATTTAACCAAATCACAAGCAGGGGAAATAAAGACAGCATTATCTTAATCATACAGTACAGGACACAGGCAACTTAATTCACATACCATGGGTATTAGGCTCATACCTTCAGATAATTGGAAACTTGCTAGCTTTTGATGACACGCCCCCACTGGGGCACCTCTCATGTAACCCTACCCACTTTGCTAGTGTGTGAAGATGATGGATCTCTTCTTCATGGAGAAATCAGCTTCACTAATGTATTGTTTTTGTTATTTTATTGTATCTGGATCAGTGCAACCTTGGCAGCCGTACCAGGACACAATGGTGTGGGGACGGCCTGTAATGTTGCCTTGAGCACTGGATCCTTCATGAGGAGCACAGCTTGAAACTTGGCAGGTAAGACAGGGTGTCCTGTATCTTCTGACCATTTTTGTAAAAAAAAAAAAAGCAAGGCTATGTTTTTGGAATGTATTCACTTTAAAGTGAAAATCTTTCCAGCTAAAATTCATTTACCCCTCCAATCTCCGTTGGTTACACACACCAATGGTAACACACTTAACGCCACTTCCACCAAGAGCCCTCATAAGGTGCTCCGGCGCTTTCTCCTGCCCTTTCTTCACAAGAATTTGTTGCAGGATGGTCTATACCTGGGTTACTGCGTACTCCTTCTGGAAACGCTTACCCTATCTCTCTCACTCTTACATGATTTTTCGGTGAGTACCCCAGAGGGGAATACCCTCACTTTTCGCTATGGCGGAGACCAAGATAAAAGAAGCCAATTCTAAACAGCAGGTGAACATTTGCTCTGCTGAAGGCAACACTCAACCTCGGTGAGCTCCGCTTCAAGCACACAACAAAAGCAGAATTTCACAATTTTTTTGGACGGATAATTGCCTTAATACAGCCATCTTTCTCCAGGGCTCAGAAACGCCCTGCCCTCTTCTACCCCTGTTTATCAACCTGAGTTGGATTTCAATATGCTGGTCCTGGATGACACAGAATCAGAAGAGAATGAAGAGAATGTTGAGGCAGTGTTGGCAGAAGCTGTGGAAGATCCCCCATATTGTCACTATATTGAAGAGGAAGCTTCACACCACATGCTTAATAGCATTGGTAAGATCCTTGCCTCTGTCTGCAAAAGCCTTGGCATTGTTCAGATTGACTCACCTCCATCTCGCCATGCCCCTTTGGTCACAGAGACCTACAAAAAGTTGCCGAAATTCCCTGTTAATGAATGTACAGTCTTTGATGCGTGGGTCACTCCCCCTAAAATCATTGTCAATTCATCCAGTGCAAAAAAAAAGTTTACAAAGAAGTAGGCTAGTCCTGTGGTAGATTCTGCCATCTCTGTCCTAAACAAACATCTTACTGTACATATTGAAGATGTCCCTCCTTTCAGAGGTACTGCTGATAGGAAATTTGAGACGTTCTTAGAAGCTCTTTTGACCTTGTAGGCCTAGCCCTGCAACCCCACTGTTGCTACTATTTCTGTGTGTCAAACTGCAGCAAACCTGGACTAGGGCAACGAAAAGCCATCACGACCCTGTTTTTTTTCAGGATCACACTGTTACAGAAAAATTAAAACAATTGCCTCCTGCTTTGCTTCTTTATGTAGATGCCATGGAATATGTCATAAATAGAAATTATGATTATTCCGGACATACTGTATGCCTCGTATGTGCAAAGTCTAATGACTAAGGGCTTGAACAGTGGACGCTGCTTGTAAAATGCATCACACGTGTATGCCCTTCCAAGGAAGCCCTCTAATTGGTGAGGCACATGACCAATTCATCAAGGAGGTTACAGGAGGGAAGGATTTACTTTTTCAGGAAGGTTAATAAAATCACTCTCCTGAGGAGCCATTAGCCCCTCTAAATACCTGCACTTTAACTTCTAAACGTTCAGCCTTTCCCTTCAGAACAAAGCTTGGCCCAAAAAGGCCAGCAAGTCTTTACAAAATTCCCCTTCACAATGAAGAGGCAACCAGACTTTTAAGGGGGGGACGTCTGTTACAGTTTGCTTCTCTTTGGAAAGATGGTCATCCCAGACCTGTAGGTTCAGTCGATGGTTTCAAAAGGGTACAAGAATTCAAAGCTGTACCTTCTCACTGCTTTCTTCTTTCAAATCAACAAACGCTGGCCCATGGACAGTCAAATTTGCAGAATGCCCTGAACCACCTCTTTTCTCAGGGAGTCGTCATACCAGTACTTCCAAAGGACAAGTTAAAGGGATCCTACCCAAACCTAGTTCACAGTAACAAAGCCCAATGAGGGTATTCTTTGGATTTCAAAATTTCCTATAGAGTCTGCAAGTTCAGTAATTGCCTCCTGTAAGACAAAGGGAATACATGGTATCTGTTGACGTCCAAGATGCCTATCTGTCTGTTCCTATTTACCCACCTCACCAGTGGCCTCTACATTTTTCTGTGTCAGTCAACTACTTCCAGGGATGAGGAGGGAGGGTAGGGAGAAGGGGGTGTCCTGGGGAGGGCCCGAAGATCAAGTAGGGGAGAGGTTTTGTTCAAGTTGCACTGCTCGTTTTGTCTACTGAATGGTAGAGCCAGTCAATTACTCAATTTAACATTGATGCTCTGTGTGAGTTAGAAATTAGGGAGGCCAAAACCCCCACTGATTCTGGCTTAGGCCTTGTTCACACCAGTGTGCAGAAACGTCAGTTTTTCTGCAGGGCACAACAAAGTCAGTTGTTCACTAGGTGTCTTGTTCACACCACAACACTAGTATCACGTGTAGATTTTTTCTGCGCAGGAATGTGCAACGTATATAAAAAACTCATTGAATCGTGCATGAAAACTGATGTGAACTGATAACTCTGCAAGTGAATTCTGCGCGTCAGTTCTTATGCATGTATGGTGTGAATGAGTCTTTAGAAATAACTGTTAATTTCAGTCAGAAGGTGATGGAGAAAAAAAGTTTTGGTGGGGATAATAGAAATCATGTTAAAGATATTCAAAGACTGTGGAGATCTATCCACTTTAGGGATTTCTTCTGATACAACTGTAAGAGTCCCCCACCAGTGTTCTCTGCTTCTTCTCCATCCGAATGCCCCCTCAGCAAGCCAGATGCTAAGAAGGCACTCGTGTGCTCCCAAGGCACACATAGGGAAAAAAAAGGTAGTAGACTGTTTTATACCCCAATTTAGGAAATGCATTTAAGTGATTGATTGTAAAGGATTGTTTTTTGTTTTTCTTAATAACAAACATGTTATACTTACCTGCTCTGTGAAATACCATTGCACAGACCAGCCCCAGTCCTCCTCTTCTTGGGTCCCTGCTGGCTCCTGGCTTCTCCTCTCCCCCCCCCCCCCCCCCCCCCATACCCGCCGAGTGCCCCATAGCAAGTCCATGACACACAGAGTGCTGCTCAGCCCCACTCCCTTCTCCCTCCTCAGTGGCTGTAATTGACCGCTCCAGGAGCCAATGGCATCTGCTGCTGTCTCTGAGCCAATGAGGGAGAAAGCAAAGAGGTGCTCTGCTTTTATGCGCATCGCTTGATCGGGGCTCAGGTAAGTATTTAATGGGAAGGGGGGAGCTGCATGCAAGTTTTTTTTACCTTAATTTATAGAACGCATTAAGGTAAAAAAGAAACCTTTTTAGAACTACTTTAAGGTAAAAAAAAAATTGGACTTTAGAACCACTAAAGTCAGGAGACCAGCCAAACTAAACAAGTTGAAGATAGAATCTGGTTGGTTTCCATGCACAGCTGCTCCAGTTTTAATAGATTCCTTTCAGAGTGTCTAAGTAGAGGTGTATACGTGTCAAAGGTAGCTATCCTTGTGTGTCTTTTTGGCGTTTAGTTAGGAAACCCCCCTTGGGAGCAGATGCTGCCTAGAAAAAAAAAATTACGTACAAATTGTAATTTGTTGCAATGCATTTTTTGTTGTAGGAACACTGTCCGTTGGCCTGGGGCAATATAAATTTGTTTGATTATACAGACACACTAGTTTCTGGAAAAATGGCCTTGAATTTGTGGCCAGTGCCTCATGGACTGGAAGATCTGCTAAACCCTATTGGTGTTACAGGGTCGAACCCAAACAAGGTAAAATAATGCTGCTTTGCTACAAATAAAATGACTCTGACCTTGAGAAATTAATTTCACCCTGTTCTCATAACTCAAATATTTACACACATGCTTTTGTTTCATCCAACAATCTCCATTACACTTTGGAACCCAGAAACCCAGGGTGCATACTGTATGTGAATAACAACTTAGGCACAAACACTCCCTTATCTGTATTAAAATATGCATGCTGCCATTGCCGGTCTGTTTCTAAAAATGCTTATTGCCTGGCTGTCATGCTAGATACAGTTTGTGTTGAGTCACTGACTTTAAATATATGATAGGGAGGTCTAACGTCATGAGCTGCACACTTGATCCAGGTCGGTGGCTAAGTACGTTAAAGTCACAGATCAACGCGACAGCCAGGCAAATAGCATATTCAGAAGAAAGTCAGCAGCTGCAAGCTACATATTTCTGTCAGCAGAACTCCATTTAGACAAGTAGAAGGTATTGGTGCTGCAGTACCATGGTAAAGTTAGTTTGATTATTTTAAACATATAGTACTGCAAAATACTGACAAAGTATATTATTTTACATTTTGGGTATTTTTATTAAACTTTGTTTTTCATTCTAAGTGGTTAATTTTCAGGAAACACCTTGCTTGGAACTTGAATTTGACTGTTTCAGTAGCCCAGTAAAGTTCCCTGATATGCCAACGATAGAAGATCATGCAAATAAAGTTTTAGAAAGAGAAATGGGCTACAATTATAGCCATTCTGGACTGGTAACTATGTGATTTTATTTTTAGCTGTGTGTTAAAGCTATAAATTATATATAGAATTTATTTTTTTTTTAATGTCAGAGCAGAGGGCCATAAAGATAATTATAAATTTGATAAAGCTATTTTAAAGGCATGTTTGGACACGTGTTGAATTTTCAAACGTAATATTTGTGATCAGCTGCAGTCCTGGACATAGTATTTTATTCTATTCTACATTGTCACTTAACAGTGAAAAGGAGAAACTGGTTTACTGGTTGGTTTAATGTGTTCTTGTTCAGGAAATGTGCGGATATTTGTTTTTGTTGATGATGGCACTTTTTTCTTTTTTTCAAAACAATTAGGGTATTTAAGCCTTTTCTTAAATACTAGCAAAAGTATGCTCATTCCAGTTTAGGAAAGGTTGGGGATCTAAAAAGCAATGCTAAAAAGTGTCTTAGCAAGCAGTATGTGCAAGAGAAGAGTGCAGAGATTAGGACAGCAGTGGTGGTGGCAGGAAGAAGGTCACCAGCCCCACATCCGCAGTGCCGCAGACTGTGAAGTGGGGGTAGGTGGACACTGAAACTGAAACAGACTGTGTCAGTGATGTTTGAAGACTAGAGGATTAAAAGGAGACACCAAAAATGAAGCTGGTTATCAGCAAGGGACTGTTTCATGAAGTCCAGGAACAGTGGAGGTGGCTCTGGAAACATGGAAAGTGGGGCAGGGCTTTGTTGCCATGTAATGTTTAAATAGGAAATAGGGCACTGGAGCTGAGATTACTATTTGACCAAAGACAGTGGATAGGAGACTGATATATGGCATGATATGTTTAATAAGTGTGAGGAATTACTTGCAACGGTAAATGTGCATACATTCCATACAGATCACTGAGATGTGTTTAAAGCTCATAACCTGGCAGTAGATGGATTTCAGCAGCTTTGGCTCTGACACAGTTCGTTTTTTGTTTGTTTTATTTTTTTTTTTTCAGTGGGTTTATGTATTAAAGTAAAATCATTGTAGGTGTGTGTTTGATGGATTTTCCTGCTTTTGGGTGAAATGTCTAATTATTTTTTGGTTACTTTTACCCACCAGCACACTGGATTAAAGTGGGCTATATAAAAAATGCTAACCGCTCTTTCACAGCCGCAGAGCTGATTGTGAATGGCACCTTCCCAATGCACTTGATGCAGAAGCAATTTTTGCTCAGTTAATGTGTTAAACAGCCCATTCAAATGAATCCTTTCCTTTAGCACAAGCAACATGTTAATGCATGACCTAACTCCTGTTAACTGCACTGCTGCAGATCACCCTGCTGTGAATGGGCCCTAATATAACCAAGAGCTAATTCTCATTAAATATTCTTAAGTACCGGTGCATTAAAAACCCTAGATGTTTATTTTTGAGATGTGAATAATTGAGAGGCTTGAGCAGAAGGTACTGTTTATTCTCCGTCCATATTTTTCAATTATTAGGGCTCGCTTACACTTGCTTCAAAATGTGGCATTGGACACGCTTTTTTGAAGCACCTGTACTTTAAATAAATTTGTAAGCTTACAGTCCTGTTTACACCTTGTTTGCTTTGCTTCACTTCAAAATGTATACCCCATGTCACTTTCTTGGTGCTTCAAATTGCCTTTAAAGCCTCTGTAGAAAGCTATGACAATGCTTGCTTACAGCACCTGCATATCCCAGGATGCACTGGGAAACCAACAAGTGAACCAGAAAGACATCATCAGCAGTCACTTCTGGTTCATGTGTATATATTTTGGGAGTGTCTGGTGCAGATGTCTCATCTGGTGTGGAGCAGCAGGAAGGTGAGCAGGGTCCAGACTGGAGTGGACCAACTAGCAGACAACACACATGATGTGCAACATGGGAACGCTATAGCAGAAGATGAGCAGGGACGAGAGAGAGGACTGAGTGGTGAAGGATCAGCAGAGCTGGGGGACTGGAGCAGGCAAAAAAGCAATGTCACACGTGGTGCACAGCATAGGGGCTATATAGCGGGAGGTGAGCGGGGAAAACCGTGAGAGGAGGATCTGCAAATTAGAGGATCAGCAAAGCTGGAGGTTACTACTGAGTGGGGGAATCGGCACAGCTGGGGGGTTACTTCTGAGTGGGGCATCAGCAGAGCAGTGGATGCTACTGAGTAGGGAATCTGCTGAACAGGGGTACTAATGAGCTGGGGATCTGCTGAGTTGGTGTACTACTGAGCTGGGGTTCTACTGGGACCCTTCAAAACTAAAATCATGATAGGCGCTTGAATGTGTGTTAAAGCAAGTGTAAATGAACCCTTAAAGTGTTTTTAACAAAAAATTTGGTATGACTTCCACATTAACAGTACAAGCTTGAAAAATAGGTTGTGTGCTCATACATGTTTTATTTTTTGAAGAACCTGAGCATCATTTTAAAATCTTTAGGGCTGGTTCACACTGGAACGCAGTTCGGGAAACCCGCATTCTGTGCATGTTCCAAACACACTAGGAGTGTGATCTGTTGCATTTGGCTATAGATTCCTAATGACACCTCACCCGCAAATCGCAAGTGCAGCACATTTGCCTGCAGCGGATCAAATTGTACCACAGTGCCATGCGATCTGGCAGCAGTGCATTGCTAACAGTAGTGCAGAACTACTTTTGGTGTGATCCAGAGCTGTTTTAAAGCCCTTTCAAATGAATGAGCTAAAAATCAAATTGCACTGAGTCGCGCAGGAATCAAAATATTCTCCTTAGAAAGCAAACGCCATAAGATTGTAGGTACTATTTACAAATACTTCATCTGTACTACCCTATGATATTGTTTCACTGGGGCCTGACTTCGCCTAATGTCCTAGCTAACCATGCCAACTGTCCTTCCAGACTGCCTCAGTCTCATTGGAAATGGAATCTTAGACCAGTAATGGCCACTGTCTTTTGATGTGGAGCTAGCAGCTAGTAAAGACGAGCTTTACTTTTCTGACCTTTTCCGATCATGTGACCACCGTGATTAACCGTCAGATGATTGACCCTAAAACCCCCACCCCGCTTACCGGTTTCTGCAACTCTTAAAGGGCCGGGAGGCGCCAGCGTGTAGAGGTTAAAATAGTTGTAACACCTGAAGGTTTTTTAACCTTTATGCATTCTAAGCCATTGGCTCCCCTTGCTGTCAGTCAAATGCTGTGACGGGAGCAGAGGGCGTGGCCGAGCCTCCCAGTCTTGCAGTAGACCCAGACGGGGCTGCTCGGTAGCAAGCCTGCACGAATGCCCCCATGGAAAGTGTCTTTCCACAGGGGCACTTGCTGCAGGGGACCCCAGAAGAGGAGGATCAGTGCTGCTCTGTTAAAAACCATTGCACAGAGCAGATAAGTATAACGTGTTTGTTATTTTATTTAAAGAAAACTGAAGGTTTATAGTTACTTTTAGGGCATAGTTGGTTAAAAAAAAAAAAAAAAAAAAAATTTTCATGATTAATGCTTCATAAAGTTATTTGCTCATTATTATCATTGTAATGTATAGCTTTTCTTATGCAGGCTAGTAGAATAGCCAGAGATAATGAAGTCCGAGAAAGTGATAAAGAGCAACTCAAAGCCATTTCTGCCCGGGACCCTCTCTCTGAAATTACTGAGCAAGAAAAAGAGTTTCTCTGGAGCCACAGGTAACACTCACTTAAACAGATTGCTTTAGGTCTCTTACAAACAAGCCTCATAAAAGCATATTCACCACTATCCCTTAGAGTAGAACTATAGGCAAAAATGGTTTTTGGTTTTTTTTTTTTTTTTTTTTTCGTTTCTTTCATTTTGGATAGAGCAAGGGATGGTTATAACCCGCCAGATTTTTTTTTTTTTTTTTTTTTTTTTCGCCATGTCTGTCTCATTTCTGAGATTTCCCTTCAATTTCCTGTACCATAGTCAAACGGGAAGTAGCAGGAAATCCCTGCAAATTAAGGGAATCCCTTGGGACCCCCAGGTCACCAGAGCTAGTGTCCTCATTTGAAGATTTCCTCTCTATTACCTGGGGACAACTCAAAATTTGGGATTTTCTTTGCATTTACCTTCAATGATAATGGTAAATAGGACAAATAGGGTGAATCTCTACTGACAGGGGTTCTAATCCCTCTCCACTCTATCAAAACTAAAAAAAAAAAAGAAAAATTTTTGCCTTTTAGCTATACCTTAATTTTCTGCATAGATCAATACACACAAGCCTTTTTGTATTCTTGCTGTTCTGTGTTACATTAAAATGCTGCAATCTAATTTTTCTGGAACATCACAAAACATACTAGGTACAACACAACTGCTAAATGTGCATTGTAGCAAGTGCAGTGTGTGCATGGACCTTAGACTGTTTACCTGTGTAAGTAGTTTATTTTTTTTTAAGCAGGTACAGTATACAGAATTGGAAACCGGTTTCTAATTATAATGCTTACATTTCTAGAAGTCACTGATTTCTTGCATAATGCTCACATTTCTAGAAGTCACTGATTTCTTGCAGATACAGGAAGTGAAATACAGTAGAGGAAGGTACACACAGAGATTGAAGAGAACTTTTTTACTTCCTGCAAACTCAAGATGTGAAGTGCAGGATGAGAGACCAGTGAGATGTGTCCCTCTCGGGTCTCTTGGAAATTTTTTTTTTTTTTATCCCCCCTGGTGGCTGGGGCCTGTCTGGGCACTGCGAGTTCTCGTTACGTCCTGTGCACCTAGTGTGAGCTATTGAGGATTGCTTGACTCTTAGGGGTTATTTTGTTGTTTTTTTTTTTTTTTTTTTTCTTGCTCATATAGGCTAAGAGCTCTTAACCATCAGTGCAGAAGAAATGCCCTTCATGCAAAACAAAACTGGGGGATAATTGGAAAAAGCCTCTGTGCAGAGCCTGTATCACTATTCTTGTCAAGGAAGAATATGTCTATGGGTAGCGATTTAATTCCCAGTTTTAAGAAGGAGCTTTATGCCACTATGCAATCTTTTCATTCCTCACTGGTAGTTCCAACCTCGAGTCAAGCATCCACCTCAGCATCCTTACAGAGCTCACTTTTAACCCCTTTG